TCGGCTGTTGATAACGACATTTATTACGATATTATTCAGCGATTAATCGTTATCATTAAAAATCGAGCAGGTTTACTGTTTCATCTTTTTTCTTTCCTGTTTAAATTCTTTTTTCAAAATAAACTTTTTATTATCTTTTTTTTTTGTATGCTAACTTAATTTAGTGTAGTGTTTTTTACAAAATTATTTTATACTGTTGCCAAAAACTGAAAGCTGTTGATTTCGGTTAGTTGGTTGAGTACTTCAAATGGTATACTCTTTCATCTTAATATTTTGAATTCTTTTTTTATTCGAACAGTAAGTATCGCTTTGTCATCGTAAATACCGAAAAGTAAAAAACTCTTGACCAAAAAAAAACAATAAAATAAGTAGAAGCATTTTTTTTTTTTGACAAGTTAAGCTTCACTGATTCGGCAGACAAAACCCAAATAAATTTGGGTACGTCTAAGTAACTGCAACTATACGACAATTTTATCAAATGGCAGAATTGTTTTTCCTCACCTCAATAGAACTTCAAATATGTATTCAAAAAATTATTTATTGTTTTTAACTACAGGAAGACTTTGGCTTTTACAAAAAAAAACATCAAAATTTTACATGATTATAACAAAAAAAAAACTGTTTTTTAATTTTCTTCTTTTTTAAAAACGTCTTTTGACATTTTTGTCTATTTAAAATTTAACGCACCGTAAAATTGTCTAGTTGCCACTTAAATATTCTATAAAATTTTGCTCTTTTTTTAAAGTTGTTTTTTCATACTTTCTGCTTTTTTTTTTTAATATGACTATTTAAAATTACCTTCTACTTTTTTGTAGTCATAATTTTTTTGTTCTTAAAAAATTTTTAAAAACAAAAACGGAACTTTTTTAAAAGTTATCTAAGCAAAACTACTGTTTTCAAAAAAGAGATTAAGTTTAGTAAAAGTTTGAAACTTTAGAACTGCACAGCGTCACATAAATTTGTCAACTTTTCCCATTTCGTCTTTCTAATTGAAAGCCAATTTTGTCCGGTATTCAAATACATTTTGAAAAAGTTTTGCCAAAAAATGCCAAATTTTTTGGCAATGCCAAAAAATTTTTTTACGTTCAACACATTGAACTGTTAAACTTTGACTGTCAACAATGCCTAAAATTTTATATGCTGCAAGCTTTTTGCTTATAAGTAAAAATTTGACCAAAGATTCAGTGGTTAAAACTTACAAACTGTGATACTGTTAAATTTTTTTGTTAATAAAACTTTTAAACCCAACAGATAAATCACTTAAGTTTGTTACTGAACTTAATCAGAGGAATAATGATTGTTTTTGATAATCTTTTTTTGTAAAAATTTCAAATCAAAATTAACAGAAAAAGAGTTGCAATTGTATGATTGACGTAAAAAGTTGTAACCGACTCAGAGACTGTCTATTACTAAGTTAGCAATACATTAAAAAGACTTGAACTTTTAGCAAAAACAATTCCAAAAGCTATGCTGTTGGCTTTTAACCAATTTATGCCTCAGCCTGTGTTTTGGCAATAAAATAAAAAAAAAAAAAAAATCTATCTGAAGAAACACTGAAACAATGTTTTACATTTTTTCTTTCTCTATTCACTTTAATCGTCGTTTGGCTCTTAAAATTTCTCATTTTTTTTTTTTCTTCTCAAAATTTATTCGGAACTATTCAAAAGAAGTGGCGACTACTACAGTTATTGTCTTGTGACCTTACTAACTTTTTTTTTTAAAAAAATTTTTTTTTTGAATCTTTATTTTTACCATCAATTTATAATTTTTGTTGCAACTAATGCAGTTTTGTTTTTGTAAGCGATTAACTTTTTGACACTTTTAACGTTAATGACATATAGCACAATTTTGAAAAAAAAAAGAAAAAAGCTGTTATGAGCAAAAATGTATTGAATACCGTAGCACTTAATTGTAATAACTATTTACAAATAAAAGTTTTGAGTAATTAGAAGACTTATATGGTTTTGACATCTGCAAAAAAAAAAAAAACCAAACAAGTGTATTTTTTTTTTGAATATTAACAGGAACATTTCAAGTCGAAATTGAAGAAAACTACTCTTTTCATCGATGGACATTTGGTAAGTATACTTTCTTTTTTTTTCTGTTTTAAGGCTTAGTAAAATACTGAATAACTACAACAGTATAATTACTTCTGGTCGCTTTACTGCTTTTCAATAACGATTTTTAAGAGCAAAAACAATTCATTTCTCCAAAAAATCATTTTATGTGAGACAAATAACTGCTGTGTTTCTGTGTAAAGTTTTTTTTTTCAAACTTTTCACTGAAGATTTTTTTTTTTGTTTGTATTACAGTTATCTTACAACTGTTGATTTTAGTCGATGTGGCAGCTGTCATATGTATATGTCTTCTGATCATTTTGCTTCCCTTTATCGGATTTCTTATGTTTAATCGAACAAAATTTTTTGAAAGGTACTTGTTCTGTTGTGACATTGAAAGTACTTTGGAAATATATTTTATCGAGCTACCTTACAGCAAACAGTGAATATATATATATTTTTAGAGTGTTAAATCAAAACGTTTTTGACATAATATCAGTGAAATGGAACAGAAGTGCGGCAAATGATGAGGTTGAATTGTTTCAAGACTCCTCTTCAGATGGAAATCTTTCTTTGAAGCCTGAAAACCTGGAACGTTCAAAAGATGAGGTTGTCTTAAATTCTTAAACTTATGAATTGAAAAAAACTTTGGCAATTTAAACGAATATATCTAATTAACTTTTGATTCTAGCCAGTTCTTCAGTTACATAACTAAAGCGAGGTACCAGTTGCAAAAGTTTTTATAAGTAATTTTTACTAGCTTAAAGAGAACCAGTAATTTTTATTCACAAAGAGAATACAGTCTTTTATGTGGCACACTGTCTTAGACCAATTTATCTTAAATTTATTTTCAAAAAAATCGAATAAGTATAATAGTCTCTATCTATTTTAAAGAGTAATTTTTCTTCTGGTTTAAAAAACTTTGTAGGAAAGTACAATAAGAAACTTTTTTTAGAAAAATTTGGCTTTTTGGTTGCATAGTGTTTCAATAACTTTCTGCCTAATCTAAAAGACAATTTTATTCTTTTTTTTTTTTTTTTTTTTTTTTTTTTTTT